CATACATACATACATACATACATACATACATACATACATACATACATACATACATACATACATACATGATGTGAACGTATAGATAGACACTGCCACTTGCTTCCAGAGACCGAAGGAGTCTTTCTGCGATAACAGGCCTGAGAGATCGTTAACCATGTGTGACAGATTCATATCACGGAGGGGTGAATTTGCCTTCTACACCTTTAGGTAAGGATACTTCCTGTACAGAGGAAGAATTATGACAAAGTACTTACAGAGAGTCGATCGAAACGCTCATTAAGTAATCCCTTGCATTTGGTAAACAGAAAAACAGGAGTAAGAGGTTTATCATGTAACTGCTTGGAGGTTCCTAGGTATCTAGAAATGAAAAGCGCTGTGAATTCAGAAAGTCGACATGCATATGTTATGCTAACTGGAGGCTTTTTCCTTCAACAACTGTTGCTCATGTGATGAGGCCAGCAAGTTCTGTTTGAGCTAAGCAGTTCTAAGCGCTCACTTTCCCGACAAGGATTAGACACACAGGAATGAGCCTGAGGCTGTGTAAACTTGGTTCAGTGTTGCATAACCTCATTGCTCCCGTTAGCCCCTCCCAACCCATAGAACTTCCAGGAGTTTTATTAACAGTATCCTGTAGAGGAAGCCGACTGCATCAGACAACTGCATCAACAAAAGATCCATTCCTATAAAGCGAATTAGATCTAAAGATTCTGGCTCTGGCAGATATAGACTGACAACTATATCGTAAGCTGAACCATTTAATTTGAGAGAGAGTGAAAATACTTGCGACTGCTGGACACCTCTTATGCTAGTACTTTTCTGTATGTCACCTGTCAGAATTTTGGCTTTGAAGAAAGAATTAAGGTGTAAACCTCAACCTTCATGTAAAGGTTCACACCTGTTTCGTTCGATGGCTATTCGAGATGCAAAACGAACTTCGACTGCTACAAACAATCCTAATTTTCTTCTTATCAAGATGCGCCATTCAGTGCTGAATTCCTTCAATGTTGTCTAGATGAGGTCCGTATTCGTTTTCTGTGCACTAATATGCATCCCGCGATCACTCTATACATTCCGAACTTATGTTCGCTCCTTAAACCAATTTAAACCTTAGTAATAAGCTGAGTTTAGGTGAAGACTGATTTCTGAATGGGAAAGAGATTAGGAGAAGCTTTTAATACTGTCGGTAAACACAACAGTTATTTATCAAGTCTCCAGATTTACGTGGCATAGTCACACCGTTTCCTTGCTAGTGGACTCATTCCTCTTCTTCTTTCTCTGCCTCAACTCCATACCTCTTCCTTTCCAATTCCTCTCTTCTTTTCTTCTTCTTCATTTAAATCTATGGATTATACCAGAACTGCTGCAGAGAATGACAATATGAATCACTCCACCAAATCATAGCTTAACCCAGCATTTAGTTCCAGACGCATAATAGATCATTTATGTTTGGGAGAATCGCTGGTTTCATGTGTCTCGACAGAGTCTGGAGTTCAAATGCTTAGGATGTCGCCGCTGCTTTTCAGATTGAGAAGTCACAGCATGCCACGACTCGGGTACGTTCTCGAAATGCTTCCAGAATGAAAGACGGAAGAATAACCATTTGCTCAAGAGATCTGCCGAAGACCCTGCGGTCGCTGAAAAACCACCTGAGACAAGTGTATCGGAATACGGCGCTCCTGACTCCGGTTATCTAATGCCGAAGCTCAAACACAGGCACAGGATAGGGACAGTGTCTGACGCGCCAGCGTCCGCGAACCGAAAGGATAACCGGTCTCTGAAAGAGACAGACAGACTGAATGATTGATTAGCGTAATTTGAACATCCAGTGTGCAGATGTAATAATAATACAAATAGCCAGATCTGATCGAACAAGTATGTGAGAAAATCCATTTGCAATATAAACCCAACTTCTCATTTTCTCCTCTCTTCTATGTTACTTCTTCCGTTCTTCTTCCTCTTTCTTAATTCATTCCTCCTCCTCTGCTTCTTTATCATTTTCATCATATCCTACTTTTTTTCCCTTGTTGTTCTCCGTGCCATTATCATTCTGATTCTTCGTTTTAACACTAAGTTCTGCAGTTTTTTAAGGATGATGATGACGTGGCACTGCATACATGGATTCTAAAAAGCAACAGCTGAATTAGCACTGCAGGAAAACCTGGGGTTCGAGTAAGTTGTCTGCTCAAGTAGTTTCTTTACGGCAGCTGTCTGTGCAGTTATTCTACTTCTGAGGACAGTTCTTCGAGCTCGGCGGTGTTGCCACAAACATTTCTGTCTAATTGCTGATGACTGTACCTGGCTGGAACCGGCTTGCTTGCTACAGCTGATCAAACATCGCGGATCGGTTGCGATACAAATTTTTTTATTAAAACGTAATAACAAAAATTATTTATCCACAGAAGACTTTGGAGTAAACATTCTCGTTGCGCCCTCTTTGAAAGCCGCAGACCAAAAGCCTGCTCAACGAAGAAATATACTGAGCAAAGTATATCACTGATCGAGGTAAAACTACTTTGTGTTCGAGCATGCTTCTGTTCCACCGAACATCGTGATTACGTCATGATAACCATGAAAAGCGGTTTATCAATCTTACGCTTGCCGGTAGCATCAAAAAGCAGATTTTGCTGGTAAAGCCAGGATATCATATGCATTTGTATTCATAATTAAATCCGTGAAGATCACCTATATTAGTATTTGAAGCAGCAACCGCGCACTGACTCATGACATGCTTGAAGAGTCCCTTCAAGCTGGTAAAAACGATAGAAAGATGAGATCACCGGCGTGTGAATCCAGGTGAGCGACATGCATACGTCAGCATATACGATTACTGTAGCAGTTGAGCTCTTGAGCGTATAACATCGACGAAAAGTGCTCATAAAAGGACGACTGAGGATGCAGGAAGGAGGACGTCATAACTTACCTGCCTCCAACGCAGCAGATCTGATTTCAGCTTCACGATGGCTGAACTCGAAATTCCAAATGCCGTCTTTGGCGCGTTTTTTCGGATATGTGTGTCCCCTCCAAAATCCGACGTTGACTGTTCGAAACGGCACGCTGTCTCACTGCGTGCTTGTCGTCGTCCCCGTTTTCACACATGTAGTACGCCGTCGTACACGACAAGACGGCGGCACAAGGAAATAAACCGGATTCGGTTGCGGCCACTTCTCCTTCTTGTGCAATCGGCCGAGCCCTTTTCTCCATTGGACAAAACATATCGATAGGCATGGCGATCTGCGTTTATGAGTCGGTAATTATTTAATATTTGGTTGCCATGTAGCTTCTCATTCGGTGTCCCCCCCCCCAGGACCGCGGGTCAACCGTTGGAGGGAACACTGCCTACCGCGAAAAGCATTGCTAGCGGTTCAGGCAATGTACGGCGCTACCGAAGAAGGCACTGTCACGGTTTTGCCAGGTTATCGACCCCGCCCGCCACACGTGTTCGGCACAACTGCACCGGATTACTCTAGCTGACGAATTCGGTACGCGCAATCTCTCTCGAACGAAACAAGATGAATTCTTGACCTCATTCAAATGTGAAATGAAACTTCAACATCAAAACACGTATTAACGCGTGCAAAAACTGAGGTACACGAAAGATGGGTCATTTTATCCGTTTCTGGAGTTTTCGAAACGCTGAACCAAAGCAAAAAGCGCCGTATTTACTCAAATGCCATTTAGCCTTGGTCTGAATAATTAGCCTCACCCAATAAGCCTCTAAAAGCAAGGAAACGGTGCCAGTTGCCGTATTACTTCATTGAGTCATCCTCTACCATGCTGGCGCATACCAAATAGCATATAGTTTATTGAGATCATCACTTTGGACCGTTCGCATAAGCGGAACGTCTGATTTGTCATGTTAGTTGTATTGGAAGATTTTCAACACCTCTGGTACAGGGAACCAAATACTTAATTGTAGAAAACAGTATTCCTCTGCGAAAGCAGGTCTGCTTCAACCTCGTTTCTCGCATGTTGACTTTGCTTGTTGACCTCCGGGTAGACGTCTGCCGTGTTTCGGCTCTCACGTAATACGCAAGTGAGCTGGAATAAAAGATTCATACTGAACAGTTTGTTTCACAGTGACAACCTCCTTTTCTCAATCCCTCTGTGCCAGCAAAAACAAAATGGAGTAATTCCTTACGTGGCTTGCCTTTCAACCGTAATCATCGACCCTGCTGCCGCAGGTGAACGTTCGTTTGTGCTTCTTCGTTAACATCATCAACAACAACAAAACAAATCTCCACGCCGTACAAGAACGGCCACATGACCGAAACCAAAACTCAAATAAGTCTTTCCGTTAAGAGTTCCCATGTAAGTCCTTCAAATTACCTGACCACTCGATTGTTAAGGAATAGCAACTGAGTCAATAAGTAATGTTTCTTATGGTCATACGTCGTGCTACCAGCAACTGACTACTGATTGATAAATATTTCAACATAAACCTGTCGACAACTTGCCTTCGCAAGCTTGTTCATCCGCTGATGATGATCGAAGGGAATTCGGTTGAAATGTTGGGAGAGTTGTAGATAAAATCTTCTTCATTTTCTGTGCTGTTAACCATCCGATCAGGATGCTCATTAGCATCAAATCATCCACCTCAAGTTACTGGTATGAGCCTTAGAAATTACTTATACAAGATTATGAATAAGCTGGAAAATGACGAAGAGGCAGAAAAGGCAACAAACTTCGAAGAAACGTCAGTCAAGAGCCAAGGAAGCCAAAAGATGAAAAAGTGTGTCTAAATCAGCATCAGCTGCGTACTTCACAAACGCGATGAATTTTACGAATAAAATGGTTGATGTTGCAATGCATATAGTTCCTTCTAATTTAGTGACCCTGTATCCAAATAACGTACAGCCGTTGCTTGCCAAATCGACGTCCTTGGGGTCTAGGTGCAAAGCAGCGGTGCCATGCTATCGTATAAATAACTGTTCGTAATGACCCATTTGATTCATACGCTTATTAAAGATAGAAAAATTGAACAGCATCCAAAGTACAGACATCTGAGAAAGAACTGGTGTACAACTGGCGTTTCTCGACGTTGAGAAGTCCCAGATGCGGTGATGTATGCCTAGCTCGTGAACGCCAACGGAAAGTAACGAACCCGGGGACGGCCAAAAATCAACTGAGACAAATGTATGGAAAGACTTCCTTTACACTCGAACTGTGTTCTCTGAAGCAGCAATGGACCAGCAACGTTGAAAACACTCTCTTACGCCTATGTTTCCGAGACCCCAATGGAAAAAGCGATTATTGATTCTAACGGATTGAAACGTTAAATAAAGAGGTAATAAAGACGCCGAAAACGCGACAGTTCGAAAAAAATATCAGCAGGCTCGTAATGATGGTATTTTAAATGAAAGACTGAGAGAAGCTTGAAAAATTGTTTTTTAAATGAAGCCTTCTTTAACTCAGACGATAAAAACAAACCAATTTTTTTAAAATTTTTAATCAATAATGAAAAATTGCTTTGAGCTAAAAAAAGCCGTTTTTAGGGGTTTCAAAAATTCTGTTTCTTAAACGAGTCCAACAAGTTACCAGACGAAATAAGTACCTTTAAGTAAATGTGCGTTTCGGTTCTCATGACTCCACGTGAACAAACGCCAATGCGGACCTATCTCCTTACCAGTGTTCACGTTACCGATGATCGAATATGCGCTTTGTACACATCCACTACAAACGTGTTTCGCCGTGCTATTTTCGGTAGTGCCCATATACGGCTTTCTGATACGTGAAACAGTGCTGATACGACTGCTCGGACGCTGTCGGATTAATGTCATCCATCAATCAAAACTGCTGCTTTAACGGCCACACGATCGTCTCGTGCTCAGCCACGGTCAAACGTCATCACTGGCTATCCGTAGGAATAAGCTTTAAGGTTGCACTGTCTGGTTGACAGTACAAAATATTCACGTACGACGAAAGCTTCGACTCTCAAGCCAAGTTTAGTGTGACCTCGGCCATAGTGCTAAATCTTTTCCGAAAGTAAACAAGGAAATTTTACGTAAACAAAGTTCATACACATATCAGCTGCTTTATGCACCTTCCGGTTGTTGGAGTTGATAGCGACTGACAGAGCTGTCACTTACATCAGCAAAACGCCACGCCATTTTTTCCTTCAGCAAACGATCATTTTTTTAAGTCGCAAGGCGGTCGCATATTTTTCTAGCATCTATAGGCTTTATATCATGTGTTTCAATGCAGACGTATCCGACATTATCCAAACTTTGGACAATAAATATCATCATCAGCTATTTCGATACATTGTGAGGCTAAGGCCTCTTGAGGACTGCCGTTAACTTCTGCTATTTGACCCTTTTATTCATCTTGTCAAACGAACTTTTTCAACTCATCTTGTCAGTGATCTATAAGTCTTTCTAGGGGCCGTTTACGCTTTGTTGGAAAAGTTTGAGGCGTGGCTGATTGCGCGATGGTCGGTTCTTCTTGTAACGACACAGCAGACCACAATTTGCACGTCCTTAGGCAATAGCTCGTGTTTCTATTTCTTCTTGTAATTCCCAATATACACCTTTCCATACTGCGTTGGACAGTCTGCGGTTTTTGAATAGCTTTCAGCTTTATGGTCAACGTTTCGTACCCATGGGGTAGCACTGATTACACGCACATCTAAAACATTCCGTTTTAAGCCAAAATGCGCTTTTTCGGTTAAGAACATTCGCAGGATTCCGGAAGTGCTTCATGCCACTTTTACTTTTCTGTTGATCAGTGGAGAACATGTAAATATTGAACATATTGAACTCGACGACGTGCCATGTCATTCCTTATTTTCGAACTTTGAGCATTTACAAATTAACATGTGCACGTCTACTCGTACGTGAGGAGCTGGAAGAGGTGCTGGAGTCCGCTCCGGTAGCTTAAGCCGGTGATGCGACAAAAATTTGACCATGTGCTCCGCTTTTCTGAATCCATTAACGATGGATGAAGAATTGCAACACGTCGGCAATGGTCAAAGACGGTTGACAACCGGAATGGCCAGATGAGCAGAGCAACTGCTTGCCACAATCGAAGTTCAAAGGCCTATGTACTCACATGCAGTAAAAATGGCGGACACCACGCTGCTCTATTGTGGGTCACAGCCTACAGTGCAAATGACAATGGCACGTATATAGCAAACTCCAGTTCTACCATTCAAGTCATTACATGATATATCGCCAAAAAAACCCCGGCCTGTAGTCAACAGTCACACAGCATGTCTGCTGCATGGGAGAACTAAGTGTCAACGCTAGGAATGAAACTGTTAATAAACCTTTGAGCCTTGAAACGCCACAATTCGAATTTTTTACAATTGCCCGCAATACCTTCGCTGCATACAATGCAGACGCCTTTCAAAGGAAATTTCAACGGATTCTATGCACTGCAATAAACCAAAATTTTAAAAAATTAAAATTTCTCGTTTTAATAGTCTGCATTTATGCAGCAGTACAAGATGAGCATCAAATTCTGAACACTGCTTCTGATAAGCATAACGTTACCCCGGCGTACGTGCTCAAAACGCCAGAAATTTGTTACCTGCTTAAATGTCCCCCTCCCGTACCCTTGGCACTAAACAAGTAGCAAGGGACAGTGCGCGGTGCAATGCATCGTTAAATCTGGTTTCTAATAAGTTATGCTTTATTTGACTTACTCCAACGTATGAACGTACGTTCATGTACATGCGGCAGCATGTAAGGAGTAAACCAAATCTTAAAACGTCGTTCGTGAACAAGAATACATGGCTATATCGAAAAACTGATGAGACATACACCGATGCACTGTTGATGCTCAAATACCAGAAAACTGGGACTGCTTTTACGGTCCCCCCTTTCCTTCAAGGAAAGGTGCGGTGTGCTGTGAAATCTAGTCTTTAAGGAACCATGTTTATTTAAGAATGAAGACGTACGCGATTACTCGAAAAGCAGATCGAAGTCCGCAGCGATCGTGGTGAAAGATGTGCGGCAAATAACGTCGGCTGGGAGAGTGAAATATTTTATTTACTTGTTGCTCTGACGCTAAAAAAACAAAATTTCTTGCAGTTATTTAGACTAGTCTCGAAACATTTAGACAAGTTTAGCTTAGCTTAATTTCAAAGAAGTACCAAAAGTAGAGGAGGTTCGTGAATTAGCCAAGAATATAAAATACATCATGAGAAAATCAAATGTGTGCAGGTTTAGTGTTTAGGTAACAAGAATGGAGTACATGGAGTA